CGGGTGTCAATTTGAGAACTTCCCACCCTTAATATCTTTAACACACACGTCAATTTTATTTGCAAAATTGTATGTAATTTTTTCATTGTAGAGTGTCCCCCTTTAATATTGCGCTATGAAACACCATAATTATGATAGATTTGAATTATTGAACTTGAAATAATAAATCCGGAACATCCGGGCCCAATAAAAGCAAACAACTTTTTTAACCATCCAGCTCCCATGTATTCAAACAATGGCTTGAAGCGATAATTTCAGCTCGACAAACCTTGTTGGAAATTCTGGATTTTGCTGTCAGTTTTATTGTATGTTTTTGTGTGGTGTGTCCAAGCTGGGTTCGGCCGTGGGCCACATTTAGCAATAACCGTTTTGTATTATTCCGCTCTCATTCAATCGAGCATTAATCGATCCGATCCCAGGCTAATAGTAAAAGGAAGCTGATGGCTCTCGCAAATTCGACCATCCGCAAAATAAACCTTCTAGATCTTCGGGAGATGGTTAGCAATGCACCTGGACTGGTGCGATGTTTCCCCTTTTCACTGCCGCTTTTGTCTCTAAATAAATATGAAAGTAGGAGTCGCCGGGATATTTACAAGTCGGTAAAAACGGGAATATAACACCCATAAATAATTCGGCCGCGTTCTAAAGGTTAAAGCTGCTGCTTAAATTGTAAATTGCAAAAGGGAACTGCAAGGGTGGGGATTAAACGCCTCAAAGCGCCCCAGCATTTTTCCTTGTAAAGGGAATAATTGAAACGCGTTCTGGATTTTAATGAGAGATAGGATAAATTTACACTCGCAAATATTTGTGATTTTTTTGTTCAGAACAGTCGCATAATCACATATAGTTCTTCTGTCTGCGATATATGCAGTTAATCAATTTCAGCTGGACCCTAATAAAATACTTTCATAGGCCAAACGTGCCAAAAATAATACAAATCACCTCTTAAAAGTCTCTAAATACAGTTTAATTAAAACGCTTCGAGCAAATCCGTATAATTAATTTTCGTTGAGTCCTAGGCTCTTAAAAATAGTCCCGCAATTTAAATTTTCCACCAACCTAAACCCTATTTTCACGTTCGGGAAAACAATGTCCGCATACACTTCACGCCGTTGATTTATTACATTAAACGTGTATAGTACAGAAACCTCAATTTACGAAATCCAGACAGCAGTAATTAAAATACCAGGGCTGTACCGTAACTCCAGCGGAGTTTTTTCAATTCCCACTTTGCGCTCCTCTCATTCACCAAATTGCTTAACATTAAACTGGCCGAGGAAATAGCTTCGAGTGTCTGCTTTCGATTTAGTTGAGAAGTTATTTTTCGCGAAAGGTCAGAGAGTTTCCGAAAATAATTAACTTGTTTCGGGCCAGCGTTTCAGACCCAATACGAAACTTAACAGATAAAAGCGCTAGTCAGCACAAGCATATATATTAATCACGAATGTGCTAAACTAGAGTATGGACTTTCAATGGTTTCCATTCAAGATAATGGAGATGAAACAAAATATAAAATAATTTGTGGAAAAAGTGTTAAACCGTTGCTTGCAACCTGAGTTTTTCGGCTTCCCAAAAAACTCACCAGTTCCGAGTAAATTGTAATTTAATATATTACAACGAAAAAGACCCAGTGCAAACTCAATATCGGCCATTAAGAAAACTCAAGTACCCCTTAAATATATACCGTTTAATTTCCGCCAGAGTTATATTGGACAGGGAAATTTGAATAAAACTTTCCACCGAGAAGGGAAGAGCAACAAATGCCTGGCGGTATATTTTCTGTTATTTTAAGAACTCTCCTTTGTTTGCGATTTATCCTTTCGCTGTTCTGACATCCACAACAATTTGGTTTTTTAATTAGCTCGCCGGAGGAAACGTAAGTTCAATAAAACGGAATCAGCGCAGTCGATTAATTAAATCCTTTGTCCAGCACTTAATTGCTATTAAAATTGTTAAGAACAAATTGATTT